CAATCAGCGCATCGCTTACCAGATCATGAAAGTGACAGTCGGAATGTGTTTTCTGATCATGCAACCTCGAAATATTTAACGACAGTTTTATGATAATATCCATACAATCTAGGCCATCTGTAAGCCATTCCAAAATGATCTTTTTATCATCTTTAAAATTTTTAACCGAGAATTCCTCAAAATATGTTTCGAAGCGTAGTCACCAGTTTGAAGCTAGTGTCGTAAAGCTCGATAAAGCCGCCTTCTGATTGGTTAATCTCAATTTCTTGTCAGTCATTTCATTGATCGGTCAAAGTTCGCGAGAGGTCGTTCTGACGTGACCCGTAATGGGATGTCCTCAGATCTTTGTTTGGCAGTAGCGAAAACTAAGACCTGATTTTAATGAGATTGTATATATATGCATGACATGTTGTGATAAGCAGCAGATTAACATTGACAACAATCTTCTAAACCAGAAGTTGTTATTCACAAAGTTGTACATTTTCTTACCAACTTCTAGAATGCCAATCAAACAGTTAATGCTCAAGTATAACATTTGTTTGAACATTGAATATGGTGAGACTGCAGATGTCCAAATATCGGAAAGCTACTTGCTCAGGATTTCAACCCTGACCATATTTGCCACCATCTTCCCGAGGCAAGGGAGTTAACTGACTGGTGGCGCTACGATCGAGCCTGGAAATCCCGGCCTAGTTTGGCAAGGGTGGAAACTGGACTTATATAGTCAGTTAACGCCCTTGTCTCGGGAAGATGATTTGCCACATCAAGGGCCCTGCTGTAACAGGTACCTCTGATCACCATTTAGATAGTCTGAAAGTAATGGTTATAAGTGCCTTGTACAAAGCTCGAAAATATTCATGACGGTCCATATTTTCTTTTGTATATAGATATTACATATTCTTTTACAGACCAAATTTACAGTCCCGATGACATTCATTTATCATAAAACAAAATGTGTCTAATCTGGCTTTCCTTCACTCCCGATTCTGGACAGAAACAGGGACAATGGACCAATTAATCCTGACAGTTTACTTGAGATACCAAGAGATGTAACTCTTAGCTAGAATGGGATTTCTTTCTGATCTTCTGTCTATGCCAGACTTGAATCGATGAGGAAATGGCTTAAATTGTTCCGATTCTGGTCACCATAGAACATTTCTCTAACAGTTTCATAAACATTTCATTTGTATGCAAAAGATATGCCTTCGTTAAATCTTTTAATGTCATCATCGATGCAGTTAGGGTTGCGGCCCAGATAGCCCAAAACATCTGATATCAAACGACCATATTTCCTCTATTTGATGCTATGCCGTCTATTAATTTCGTGAGAGCCCTTGACTCGGCATGTATTAGAGACCTGGTTGGTAGAAGAAATATAGATACATTTTACAGTTCATATGGGGGTGATCGATCGGCAGCCATTTTTTATGAATCGATATGTAGGCTATGTATTCATACGCACGTTTTTTGTGAAAAGGCTTAATATATTTGAAAGGGGTTTCCGTAGCAAAAAGGAAACCTCTTTTTAACCAATCAGAATCAAGCATTCATCAATGTTATGGTAGAATGTAAGTTGTAGCAAGATCACGAGGGGTACATGGGATTTTATGCAAGCCGGAGGTACCCCAAGTCGTCCTGCTACGAATTAATCTTACTGACATGTTTTAATGTGACTTTGTAAAAGAATTAACACAAATTCAAAATTGATAGAAAACAGCTGTTCAATTGACCTGAGGTTAACTTGTGCTATGTCACGTGACTTCCATTGAGTCGGAAAAAGCGCGCAGCTTTTTGCTTTGAATCGGAATACAAAGGAAATCCACGTGCAGCTTGTATTGCTCATGGCGGGGTATAAGAGATTTATGCCTCCGCTGAGAAATGTATTACCCTCCAAGGCGGGTTACACAGTATTTTATCAAGATCACGTGGACCAATCAGATCTCATCATTCTGACACTGGGGTATAATAAAACAAGTTCTACTCCCAGAAGTGTAGTAGAGGGGCGTATACACAGCTGAATGTTCGTGTTACTGGATTGTGAGACAAAAACAGACGGATACAGTATTCGTAAATAGAGATATTTCATAATTTATATTTAATATTTAAATATTTCGTAAGATAAACTTGGTAAATATGAGATCAAACTACCTTTGCCAATACAATTAATAAAATATTCGTTATATTAGATACAGTAATAAGGTGTTTTTATATATTACTTGGTTAATCAGACACAAAGAGTGGAATATAATCAAAAAAATATTTTTCATAACTGACATTATTAATTTAAGCAAATTCCCCATATAGGGGAAGGGAAGTAACTCTTTTTCAAATATTTAACAAAACACTTGTTTTCATTAAGTTTTTTACCTTCTTTGCCTGGCAATCACTACTTTTCAGATCTCACTTTTCAGATTTCATTTTTGACCACCAGTCCCATTCTTTTCTGAAGAAGGGGACACGGGTGGCCCAGTTTTCTAAGGCGCCGCGATTTGCCGTGCAGAGTTGCGTCCCTTGGGCACGCCAGAAACATATGATTGTAGGTTCGAATCGGGTTTGCCCCGTTTATGTTTCTAGGCTTGTCAGCACCATACCCGTGCTCGTGGGTTTCACCGAAGTGGTAAACGTCTGAGACCTGCATCACTTCGGGCTTTCCTCCCACATAAAGCTATCACGCCGCGATATAACTGGAATACTGTTAAAAGTGGCGTTAAACCCAACTCACTCACTCACTCACTTTCTGAAGAAGAAATGTAAACCAAACAATTAAAATATGTGCCATAATGTATGATCTTGATATGTAGTTAGGAGGATAGTATTTGCAACATGGCGTGAGCTGGGAAACCATATACTTGATTACTGTTGATACTGCCACCAAAATTTGGCATTGAGGTTCAATTTTGAAACCATACATGAGACATATTTTCTAAAAATATTGCTTAAAAGTGGTTAAAATGTAAAAAAATAAACTCCATTAAGCAGTTATATGTTACCATATATGGTAGTGTAAAAGTATGGGTAAATTTAAGATGTATAAATGAGAAACATAGAGCCAAGGTAAAGTAGCTCACCTATATTCTGAGTGAGCTGAAAGTTACTTGCAGTGAAATCGTAACTAACCCAATAAGGCAAATGTGCTGGTCTCAGATCATCTTCACAATGATCGTCTGAGCAATATTGCCCACTTGATTTTTTGGAAAGTTTGTAACAATCTAATATTCAAATAAACTTTAAGAACAAAATTACTTAAACATTATTTCACGTTTGATTACAATTGTAAAGCCATGTTTTTAGACGTATACTGAAAAAAGTTCGCTATCATTCTTTATTTTTTAGATTATTTTTTGTTGTGAAGACTGAGCACACAATGTCATAAAAAATATTCATGATCCCTAACTTCCTTTGCACAGTATAAATATTTTCCGAACATCGTTAACAATATCAAAGTTGATGCCAACACTGCTCTGTGGATCTGTTGGTTATCGCGTACAACAGTAGTTACCTCCCTTGCTTAATGAAACGCATCAACACTTCAGCTGCCTAACCTGTGTATGTACGACACTCAACTTTTCAAAGGAATATTTTTTACCATTCCATGATACACAGAACTCATTCTCATCACATGTCAAGTGTATATTTAAATATTATGATGTGTCTTATTATCACTCAGTACAATGAGAATCATTATGGAAGGGCCACCTCGGTAGGGTGTTAAACTTGAACATATGCCAACAAGCACCAACAGGTCTGAGTACCGTATTCGACGTAATAAGCGCCTAGGCCACTCTCAAAATTAGAAATAGGGAGCGCTTATTAGAATATAACTTTGGTGACAAAAAAGTTGAAAGATGAAAATTTCGTGATTTATACTGAAGCCTGAAATGATATAAAAGAAAAGTATGAGCGTATTATACACGAGATATATTTTTCAAGAATTTAATCGCCAATATTTAAGGGTGCGTATAACACACAAGTGCGTATCTTACACGAATAAATAATTTTTTAGTCTTGTGTCAATCGGAAGGGGCGCTTATCGGGATTGTTCACTTGCCGATATATTTGCAAATATAGACATGGGCGCTTATTAGAGCGGGTCGCTTATTGAGTCCAATACGGTTTGTTGACGATGTGATTAACAGTGAAGAACATGTTGTTTATGCCTATGTCACACAGATCAGAAACTTTTATGGAACTGGAAAAATGTAAGACTATTAAAAACAATGAAAAGTTCAAGATTGATGGTAATGGATGAGATATCTGAATCACACACCGTTATGCAAACAGTGGTTTAACCTAAGCAAGAGAAAGGTAACAGTCAATGTGGGAATAAAATGGTTCATTACAGATGCAACTGAACTGCACTCTAGGAAGCTGAAAATTGAACATTTTTTCAATACTTTTATCTCTTATTATGTGCGTGACCCCTCCATAATGACGCTAAATATTTATTTCCCCTAAATTGTATGAACAACAAAAAAAACATTTCAGTTATCAAAGTGAAATGTTGGTGTTGATACCACTGTAAGATTTATCAATGGAAGGCGATATGTATCAGGTTTTATAGCTAAAATGGATAGTATTATCATTAAACCGCCCGTATGTTATCAGAAATCAGCGGCCACTGTAACTTGATTAAGCCCTCATATTGCTTGACGACAGGCGATTATCATGCCTGTTGTTAGGTGACGTCTTAGGATGGGAAAGGTAATGTCACGTTCTATAGTGACGTCATCTGGTTTTGATCTAGGACGTTTCCATATTTGTAAAAGTGGGTCAGTGACATTCATGTTGATTGCAGTAAATGATTCAAAAACCGATATAGTTGTTTCTTTTTATTTTATAACAAATTCCATCCATTTTAGCTATAATAATGGTAACGCTATTTCAGGGCATTATCATTTGCAGAAGCCCTCGATCTTTCCAACTGCCCTCCTTCGTCAGACAGTTAATGGAAGACCTTCGGGCTTCTGCAAATGATAATGCCCTGAAACATAGCGTTACCCTTATACTATATAAGATAGGTATGCGATAAATCGCAAAGAACAATGAAGAATGGAGAGTGGTTTATTTCACGATAAAACATTGTTCTATCATGATGTCATTTCTGGAGATTCGAACATGGCCTCACAACCTCGAACGATCGCTTCCAAAAGTGAGAGAGATATGACAATCAGTCGTGGGAGAAAAGGTACAGATAATTGATGTGAAAATATTGAGAATATGTGTGAAAGACCAAACCCTGTACATAAAATGGACTTGTCTGACTTTGCCGAGGTCGGATTCTTTTCAGGGACTCATCATTATTTAAATACAAACATCCATAAAGAAGTTGTACATAATTTTTATATCTCATATCCCTGCAGTGTTTGATTGTACGATAAACAACTCCCACTCGTTTTTTATTTCTTAAATCGCCAAACATTTGTAGTGTTCAGTCAGCAGGATCAATCCGAGTTGACATCGTCCTCAAAGCTGTCGTCAGTGTCCTCATCAAAGTTGAGGTCATCTTCATCCAGTCTTCCGTTCTTCAAGTCGTAGCCTGCAAGTGGGGACGTGCGAGCGTCACCCGCACCGGCCACCGGACTACTTCCACTTCCGTTCCGCCGCACAGGAAGTCCGGACACACGGGGAATCCCGGTCCGTCGCGAAGGAAGCTGGTGACTCTTCTGAAATGTTATGATGCAGTGAAGGTTTCTACCAACCTTCTTCGTCTTACTCTTCTGCTGCCCGCGGTACAGACGACGGATATCCAGGAAGTCGGGTGACTGGTTGTTTAGATCAGTAGAAATGTCAGACCACCTACGAACAAGAACATTGAAAATACTGACAGCGTCAGACCAATTTGATAATTTGGGTCGGCCATGTTGAAATTTGATTCGAAACTCTTCAACAAATTGTGTCCCATCATCGTAGAACTAGGTCAATCAGCTTTATTGGTCCAGGGGTTTCTAAGGAGAAAATGTCACTGGACACATGACGGACAAAGCTCACCTGACTTTCAGTCAGGTGAGCTAATAAAAATTCCAAAACAGGAAATAATCTGTCTGGTCGTGTTTAATCTCAAAATCTATGTTTTGTGTGTGCTTGTTCTGCCCTGGTTACTCCAGCTGGACCCGTGAAGATCCGGGGTAGAATAGGTCTTCAGCAACCCATGCTTGCCGTAAAGGCGACTATGCTTGTCGTAAGAGGCAATTAACGGGATCAGGTGGTCAGGCTCACTGACTTGGTTGATGCATATCATTGGTCCCAATTGCGTGGATCGATGCTCATGATGTCAATCACTGGTTTGTATCCATCACAGATTTGATTATTTACAGACCACCGTCTTATAGCTGGAATATTGCTGAGTGCGGTGTAAAACAACAAACAAACAAATACTCCAGCTGACTATACCAGAAGCGAAAGAAGAGCATTTATTCAAATAAAACTTGCACCCAAAATACTTGGGTTTATTATTAGCAAGAAAATACAGTAATGTTCAATGCAGTTATCATTTTTCTTTTCTTAAAAAGTTATTTTTTGTGTTTTTTTCTCATGCCTTCATATTTTAACAAGAGTCTGGTGCAATTCAGAATGAAGTTTAGCAACTTAAACCCACTTTTGGTTCATTGCCATTGGATACCTTCAGATCAGTGAAGAAAAAAATAACGCTGTTCAGTATTTTTCAAAATCAGAAATCATCGAAAGACAGCAGTTCCGAACTAGACTGATCTGTATATTAAGTTTCATCCAGAAGTATTCAGTGGTTTTATAGTAACTGTTCAGCCTTGGAAACGAACACGACCCTCATTTTCAGTAACGTCCAACTTGTCGTCATGAAAACATAAAAAATTAAATAAAACACAAATCGTAAATCATCAAAAGGCTTTTCCACTAGACTAATCTGCATAAAAAGTTTCATCTACAAATATTCAACAGTTTTGGAGTTCTGCTCTGGAAATGAACACTACCCTCATTTTCAGTAACGTCCAACTTGTCATCATGAAAAAAAAGGAAATAAAAAAATTTAACATTTAAAATCCCAAATCATCAAACAGCACCAGTTCACCACTAGACTGATCTATATTGCAAGTTCTGCTCCGGAAACGGAAAAAAAAAATTTTTCATCATGAAAAATCATGAAAAAAAACCAAAATAAAAAGAATAAAAATCCCAAATCATCAAAAGGCACCAGTTCCGAACTAGACTGATCTAGATAGAAATGTTTCAACAATAAATATTTAATGGTTTTGGATTTCTGCTACGGAAGAGGAAAACAGACAGCAGACAGATGGACGGACATGTTGATCGCTATATCCCCGTTTTTAAAACCGGGGGGATAATAATGAAATTAGATAACCCAGGCTTTCTGTTTGCTGAATAGTTCATACCTTTTGCAGTGCATGCTGGGATGGCTGGCGCTGGGGTCGCCAATCAGTATCCACGTGTTGACCTCTTCCTGGGGCAAGGGGCCGCTGACATGGAAAAAACACGAAAATGATCAATGAAAATTACCCATAATGCCTCAATACACTATTTCTTCAGGTAGACTGATACTCTCCTGGGTGTGTGATATGATCCTTATCGTGATTCAAATTTCACTCCATTTTTAAAACATGTTAATTTCTAATTTTTATAGATTCAAACATGGTTCATGTAAATTGAGGAGATAAACATACTGTGTTTTCAATGTAGAGCTAGGTTACCTGTAGATTAAACCCCGCTAAATTGAATTTGGAGACGAACGAGCAGCGTGAGGTTTCAAATGTTAATTTTAGCACGTCAAATCAACAGGTAACCTGGCTCTACATTGAAAACACAGTAGGTTTATTTCCATCCTACCATGACTAAATAAAACGTGAACTCTTTGGTGTTAAAAATATATTGTGTCAAGTGTCCAGTATTTTGAGTGGGTTGTCAATCAGAATCTACTGAAATCACCGATAACAGCCTTTAAACAAAACATGGCACTCTGTAAGCTCAAGCAGTTTGTTTACAGGATAATACGTCACTAGAATTTATGATGGGCACTCAAAGCATGTATAGCACGGCAACTTCGAAAGCTAACATGAGGTCGGCACCCCTAAAGAAAACTAAGCAAGCCTTGCAAAGGTTTCGTTCTACGCGAAATTTTCATCACTATTATGACGCCATATCTCTGTTGTCCTCAAAACTTGAAATACATTCTTTTTGTAGATTTCTTGTGGGTTTTCTGCACAAAATCTATTGCCACAAATCATTTTAATATTGTAGTAACCACAAGTTTGCATTTAGTAACCTATAATTGTACATATAATTTTTTTTTTGGTGTATGTCGTTTAATGCTGCACTCAGCAATATTCCAGCTATATGATGGCGGTCTGTAAATAATCGAGTCTGGACCAGACAATCCAGTGATTGATATCATGAGCATCGATCCACACAATTGGGATATGATGACATGCATCAACCAAGTCAAGCAAGCCTGACCACCAGATCCGGTTAGTCGCCTCTTACAATAAGCATAGTCGCCTTTTACGGCAAGCATGGGTTGCTGAAGACCTATTTTACCCCGGAATCTTCATGGGTCTTGAATCAATGTATTGAGATTAAAAGTAGTTCCTGTCTGGTGAACTCATTTGCATATTTACTGGATTGTGATACCACTTTATCGGACTGGTTTACTGCATGGATAACACTGTCCATTATACGATGAATGGGGTTACCTGTAGGCCTCGTCTGCTCGCAGTGGCGTGTCGTCATAGCCAACAGGACAGAAGTAGTGGTTCTGACAGTGGTAGATGTAGGCTGTGTTGGGATCCTTCAGGCCCATCTTCAGCGTTTGTAGGGCATCATCGGATGTGATGCCAGAGGTACGATGCTTTCCGTTGGGTTTGTACATGTAGTAACAGCGCCCTTTGATCTTGAAATGGTCATTTAACTGGCGGAACCATCTGTGAAAATTGAAATTATATTTTCATCGTGACGTTCAGACAGTTTAGATGTCAAGAGAAGCTACTTTCCATACACAATATTTTTATTACCCATATGCCTAGAGGCATGAGGGTTCCGGGTAGAACAAGTACCTAATACCCTATGCTTGGTGTCACTCTCCTACAACCAAGTACCTCTACAACAAGTTACACTTGTTTTTAATCTGTTTTTATCCCCCTCGTTTTTATCGACGCCTCGTCTGTCCGTCCATCCGTAATCATTTTATTTCCGGAGCTCAACTCGAAAACTGTTCAATATTATTCACCAAAAATTGATAGATGTATCAAACAGATCCTGAAGTGGTGCCTTTTGCTAGTAATGGATTTTTGGCATTTTCTTTCTCGGTTTCCATGAAAAGATTTGTACTTCGTCTTGAGACCTACCCCCCTCTGGCGGATTCAGTAGGAGAATTTGTTGTTGTTGAATATTATGTGCAGAAAAAAATTACTCCGTACCCCTTCAGCGAATTCCCGTAAACAAACGGGTGATAAGAAACTTGGTCAGTACAAATTTGAAATTTGAGATAAAAAATCACCAGACATGTTAATTTACCGTTTGTTTTGATGTTTTTTTAAAAGTGTGCACTATACCGTTTCAATTGTATTTTGTGTTCTGCTAGGCTTTTTTTTACATGCAGGGATTAAGATTACCTTGTGTATTTTCTCGTAAACTAAGCCGGAAACAGCAATCAGCTGTACACACGTTTTTCTTGGAATCTACTGGTGATTCAGTTAAAATTTACCCACTCATATAACTTTAAAGTATACATTCCAATATCATGTTATTTTAGTTGCAGCTTTTACTAATTATATCTAAAATAATAATAACCCTAAGCGTAGCACTTCGGTGCAGCTGATCGATATTGACGGTTATTTTTCCCACATGGAACCATTTGACCAGTCATCTTCGAGGCTCCTGCACACGTGATCGTGAGAACTACATGTAGACATAGAATAATCAAACTACAAAAAATAGGACTTTTAACACTAACACTAAAACTACACAAATACTAGCACATAATCTGGGAAACAATTTGAAATTGCAAGTTGCCTAGAAATGCCACTAAATGATTTAGTCATATGCTAAAAGGGGTTTCACGTGGCATTCAAGATTATTGCACTTAGGGACTGGTTATTTATTATCGGGGGTGGGGGTTTGGGGTCGAGGTCAGTCCCGGACTCCCCGAGGGGCTGCAGTAGAGAGTGTCATCGCTCACCTCATGAGTGCAACATTCCCCGTGAAGGGGCCGAACCGGATCTCGTTGAAGGGGGGCTGGAATCCCAGGATGACGAGAGCCTCTTCCTGTGTGATGGGGGGAAGGCTGCAACAAGGAGGAGATACTACAGGGCCCTGTTCTAGAAACTGATCGTAGCGCTACGACAGCTGTAGGTCAATGTTAAGGCATAGGCATTAATCTTAGTGTTACGACAGTCGTAGGTCCATGTTAAAGTATCACCTTAGCGCTTTGGTCGCTTTGTGAGACGGGTGACAGTACTAACTTCCGAAAGCGATCGTAGAGTTAGGACGACTTGAACAGTCGCAGCACTCTGAAGGATGAAAATCATGATGGATGGGCATAACTCACTCTTGGGATCCTGGGCCCGGTTCCACAAAGCAATCGTAGCGCTAAGGTGATCGTAAATCCCCTACCTTAGCATAGACTTACGACAGTTGTAGTACTATGATAGCTTTGTTGAACAGGGCTGTGGCTGTGATCATGAAATACAGCATGCGGACAATCAACAACGATCGTCAGGCTGCTTTAGAATAAACCCACTTGCCTTGTTCCGGGGTACTGAACAGGTACACACAACTCACCAAGGTACTGAACAGGTAGACACAACTCACCTGCCTTGTCCCAAGGTACTGAACAGGTAGACACAACTCACCAAGGTACTTAACAGGTACACACAACTCACCAAGGTACTGAACAGGTAGACACAACTCACCTGCCCTGTCCCAAGGTACTGAACAGGTAGTTCCAACTCACCTGCCTTGTCCCAAGGTACTGAACAGGTAGACACAACTCACCTGCCCTGTCCCAAGGTACTGAACAGGTAGACACAACTCACCAAAAGAACAGGTAGACACAACTCACCCAAAGAACAGGTAGACACAACTCACCTGCCCTGTCCCAAGGTACTGAACAGGTAGACACAACTCACCTGCCTTGTCCCAAGGTACTGAACAGGTAGACACAACTCACCTGCCTTGTCCCAAGGTACTGAACAGGTAGACACAACTCACCAAGGTACAGAACCGGTAGACACAAATCACCAAGGTACTGAACAGGTAGAAACAAATCACCAAGGTACTGAACAGGCAACCACAACTCACCTGCCCTGTCCCAAGGTACTGAACAGGTAGACACAACTCACCAAGGTACTTAACAGGTAGACACAACTCACCTGCCCTGTCCCAAGGTACTGAACAGGTAGTTCCAGCAGGAGATGAGGGATGAGACTCCGCAGGACCTGCTGTACTGGGGACGACTGATGCAGCACCTGCAGGTCAACATGTACGTGAGCAAGTGAATGTCGATGTACCCTGCACTCAACAATACTCCAGCTATATCACGACGACCTTTAAATACACATGTCCAGACAAACCAGTGGTTGATATCATGAGTAACAATGCACACTAGTAGGGTCTGAAGACACACAAGCCAACCAGTCAGTCAAGTTACACATTGTAACAATCTCACCCTCACAAACAGCTACCATTAGAACGGCTCGGGTGGTCAGGCTACCATTAGAACGGCTACCATTAGAACGGCTACCATTAGAACAGCTACCATTAGAACGGCTACCATTAGAACGGCTACCATTAGAACAGCTACCATTAGAACGGCCTTCATTAGAACAGCTACCATTAGAACGGCTACCATTAGAACGGCTACCATTAGAACGGCTACCATTAGAACAGCTGCCATTAGAACGGCTACCATTAGAACGGCTCAGGTGGTCAGGCTCAGTGACTTGTTGATGGCCTTATCATACCCTGTCGGCATGGACTGATGCTCACAATATCGATCACTGGATTGTCTGGTCCAGACTCAATTATTAAAAAGGCTGCCATCATATAGCTGAAATATTGTTGAGTGTGGCATTAAACAACAAACAAACAAACAAACAAACAAACAAACAAACAAACAAACAAACAAACCATAAGCAGCTCGATGTGTTCTTGCCAGGAATTATGCCATTAATGTTAGATTTGTTACAAAAAAATTGTTGTTTCTTGTGTCCTTTTCGCTCCTAAAATTGTCTCAGCTATAAAATTTTCTCAAATTATTTTATTTTAAGCATTCTAACTAAAATTTCAATTTTGCACTTGATGCTTATTTTTAGTCATCTCACCCTTCTGGAACGTGGTTAAAGAGGTCACATGGTACGTTAGAATCAAGTTTACTTTTACAGATTTGTAATCTACTGAAGAAATAAAATTAAAAAAGTATCCTCCCTCCCAACTAATTCCATCTGTCATGAAACTGGCCTTGACGCATAGACAGGATACACTGGTCACTCTGGTCTCACCATCGCTTCAGGTCCAGGACCTTTCTCTGTGCGATGTCCTCATACGTGGCCGTGACCTTTGGTGGCGTGTACGGCTCGGTAACGTCCTCCTTTTCCTGTTTGACACTTGGCGTCCTCAGACTTGGGATACCTGGAAGAAGTTATCTCCCTTTGACTTGCAAAAATAGGTTTGGTTTATTTGTTGTTTAACACCGCACTCAGCAATATTCCAGCTTTATGCCGCGGTCTGTAAATAATCAAGTATGGACCAGACAATCCAGTGATTGACATCATGAGCATCGACCCACGCAATTGGGATCGATGACATGCATCAACCAAGTCAGCGAGACTGACCACCCGATCCCGTTAGTCGCCTTTTACAACCAGCATAGTTGCATTTTACAGCAAGCATGGGTTGCTGAGGACCTATTCTACCCCGTATCTTCACGGGTTCCTACCTGATTGTTTTTTGGTCGGCTTCTTCCTCCCCGTCATACTGGACACATCAATCTCCCACACCAAGTCTTTCATGCCGTCGGGCGTCCTGGCACCGCTCTCCAACACACATCTGTTATCCCCATTCATAGTGTCACAGTTGTCTCCCTTGCTTTGAGAACCTGTTGGGTCACTTGGGCAACTTGACAAAGATTTCGACAAACTTTGTCGTTTGAGTTCCGTCACACTTTGAGCAAGAATTTCCTCCTTGTTCATCAATTCTCCGGAATATTGCAAAGACGGCGGTAAATTCCCTGCCAAGTTATTTTCATCGAATACTAAGTCATCCTCGGGTATATAATCAACTTCTGGTTCAGTGTTCGTGAGTGACTTATTTTTCTCATTCTTTAATTCAACCTGTGAGTCATGATCTGCAGTGTCCTCAGAGTTATTTCCCTTAGTTGAAGGTGATTCTACCTCACTTTTGTCAAGGGCACTGCTTGAAATGGGCTTCGGCTTTTTCAGCCGACTTTTGCCAGATTTGGGTATTCCACTTTTGGGAGCAACAGATTTTTTAGAAGAATCCACATTGGTTGTTCCCAATTCTTCCGAGGAACCTTTGTAAAATAATTATGAAATTAAAAGGATGTTCCATAAATATATTCAAGATTATAAAACAATGCGAGTTGAGATCGTTAAACTGGAAAAGAATGTTTTTAGACAACCACACATAAGTAAAACACACCTAAATTGAAGCATTTTCGTTTTGTTTTTTTAGGAAAAAGAGTATTCTGAATCCAAATACGATACTTTTTGCAAATCAATAAATAAATTAACTTCCAATACAGAGGTCATTGTTTGAGAATTATCCATTTGATTCTAAGCTTTTATGGATCTTGCATTTTGATTTTCATTTGATCATCATAATTTTTATTCCTAGTGTATAATATTTATGATGCAGAAAAACACTGGGCTAGTAACCCCTATATGACATCATCCTATACTGAACAAAAAAAGTTAAGGATCACAATTATATTTGGTGATATTTTTTTATGGAATTGTGTGTTCAGTCTTAACTACAAAAAATATCACCCAACATATTAAGGATTCCCTAACTTCTTTTGTTCAGTATATGTACAATGACAGATTAATATAGCTTTTGTTCAATCTCGGTTTTATAAAAGCCAGGTCAATTTTTTTTCCTGTCATACAAAATGGTTGCCACATAACCCCTGATTCCTCTCAAACAATGTACTCAGAAAATGGTTCAGTCAGAAAATAATTCAGTCAGATAATTCCATAGTCAGAAAATTATTCAGTCAGAAAATTCTTTAGTCAGAAAATGGTTCAGTCAGAAAATGATTCAGTCAGAAAATAATTCAGTCAGATAATTCCATAGTCAGAAAATTATTCAGTCAGAAAATTATTCAGTCAGAAAATAATTCAGTCAGATATTTCCATAGTCAGATAATTCCATAGTCAGAAAATGATTCAGTCAGAAAATTCTTTAGTCAGAAAATGATTCAGTCAGAAAATTCCTTAGTCAGAAAATGATTCAGTCAGAAAGTTACGTTGCACAGTGATAATTTTACCCCACTGCCACATGCTAATTTGCATAATCATGTGACCAGACTTTTCTCTTGTTTGTTGGGTCACGGGTGGCCCAGTCGTCTCAGGCGATGCGATTTACTGTGCAGAGTTGCGTCCCTTGGGCACGCCAGAAACCTATAATTGTGGGTTCGAAACCCGGTTCGCCCCGATTATGTTTCTAGGTTTGTCTGCACCATATCCGTGCTCGTGGGTTTCACTGAAGTGGTAAACGTCTGACACCTGCATCACTTCGGGCTTTCCTCCCACGTTAAGCTGACACGCCGTGATATAACTGGAATACTGTTAAAAGCGGCGTTAAACCCAACTCACTCACTTTTCTCTTATTTGTAAACAGACATACTTTTCTTCAAATCCTAGCCGTCATAGAAGCCTTATATTTACAGATTTATTTGCATTATCGAGATGTGTTACGACTACTGCGACCGTATGACACATCAAAATGACTGTAGGGCTTCAAAGTCTGCACGTGGAACTGTACTACCATCGTAAACAAACCACAACCATACAAATAGTTTTTCACATTTTAGGATTTTTTCTGAATGAAATTTAACGATTCCATGACATAATTTTATCAAAATGTGTAGACTATTAAAAATTAAATAGATTTAAAACAAATCTAATTTATTGAACTGGCTGTATAAGATGTGAGGAATCATCACATCGTGTTGGTGAGGTGAGGTGAGGTGAGCTGAGGTGAGGTGAAATGGGGTTTAACGTCGCGTCCAAGATTATAGCACTTATATAGCGACTTGCATGCACGTGTATGTGTGTGTCTGCTTGTACTAGTCCGGACTGATGCCGATTTATAGTGCTAGCTCACTGAGATACCATGCCGCAGTTTAACATGAATACCCCACTCAGACACAGTATACTGACTCCGAGCCGACCAGTCCTTGTTTTAGCCCCTTAATGCCGAGCGCCAGACAGGGTAACAACAAGTACCATCTTTTAACGTTTGGTATGACACGGCCGGGGATCGAACCCCGGACCTTCCGCTCTCCGGGCGGACGCTCTACCACTAGACCACGGAGGCGTCACATCGTGTTGGCATGTGGTAGAGTACCAGGTTGACCGCAATGAACTATGGGTAGGAGTAAGCGAGAAAATGCGTCACCTGCTTTTAGGCCCTGCAACAAGATGGCCGCCTCGTGAGCGGCCTGGTAGTCCTGGTTGGCGAGATGGCCCAGGAGCTCCTCCACCTCCTTCACCAGACTGCTGACCACGTCCCCACTGGGCTGACCACTCACACCATTCGGAGCTGACCCCAGGTCATCGGCCTTATCGCCTCTCTGACTGGCTACTGCTTCGTCATCCTCGAAGTCATCCGAGTCATACTCATCGATGATGTACGGCTTAGATGTCCAGTTCCCCATGATGTCATATCTGTGAATAAAATAAATACGAATGAAGTCATGGTTGGTGAGTGATTTGTTTGTTTGTTTGTTTGTTGTTTAACACCGCTCTCAGCAATATTCCAGCTATATGACGGCAGTCTGTAAATAATTGAGTCTGGATCAGACAATCCTGTGAATGACATCATGAGCATCGATCCACCAATTGGGATAAAATGACATGCACCAACCAAGTCAGCGAGCCTGACCACCCGATCCCGTTTTGTGTGCTGTTGATTAGGTGCCTCACTCTGGCAGTGTGGGTTCGAATCCTGGACGGGACTCAGCCCAAAAAAGTATGAGAATCTGTACTTTACTAAGAAAGTGTTATCCAAAATATAACATTTGTTACATGCAGATTCGTCAAGAATTTGGTTAGGAAGTGCTTAATGGAGCAGGGGACTTAATATGGCAAATACGGTATGACAATTTCTTTATTATAAGGGTAATGCTATTTTTCAGGGCATTATCATTTGCAGAAGCCCGAGGTCTTCCATTAACTACCTGACGAAGGAGGGCAGTGGAAAAGACCAAGGGCTTCTGCAAATGATAATGCCCTGAAAAATAGCGTTACCGTTATTATAGCTAAAATGGATGGAATTTGTTATCAAATAAAAAGAAACAACAATATCGGTTTTGAAACATTTACTGCGATCAACACGAATGTCACTGACCAACTTTTACAAATATGGAGACGTCATAGAACAAACTAGATGACGTCACTATTCAACGTGACGTCACCTATCCCTATCCTATGACGTCACCTAACAACGGGCGTGATAATGGCCCGTCGTCAAGCAATATGAGGGCATTATCAATTTACAGTGGCTTGCTGATTTCTGATAACATGCGGGCGGTTTAATGATAATTCTCTCCATTTTAGCTATAACTCTTAGTAGTACTTACTGTTATGTTAAACTAGTGATGTTGACTAATCAACGTTACTGTAAATAAGGTTCAAGACTGATTTCGTTCCGAAGAAATGTTGATAGCATTTACACTGGGAAAATATGTTTGTGACCTATCTTATGTTTCACTGCTGAATACAACACAATGTATTATAGCAGGCCAAAATGTTGTACAGCCAAACACTGTTGTGTTGAAGTTGAAGGGACCAATGTACATACTTTGAGTTATCCAAGGTTCGACAAAACCGAAAATGACGAATAAATAAAAAATACATCATAGGGCATTTGCATACCCAGGTTATTGTTATTGTAAAAAAGGTACATTTTGTGGATATAATTCAAATTTGTAAAATTTAGATAGGTTTTAGAAAAAGTATAATTATACAGGTGTATGCAGACTTAGGAAATTCAAACATATTTAATAAATTTCAATTTATGAGTAGATAACTCATAAAAATCGTCAAATTAATTCAGCAGTTTTAGAGTTTGACAAGGACTGTTGTGGTCTAAGAGCTAGACAAGGATTGGTGTGGTATAAAAGTTAGACAAGGACTGGTGTGGTTTAGAGTTAGACAAGGACTGGTGTGGTATAAAAGTTAGACAAGAACTGGTGTGGTATAAAAGTTAGACAAGAACTGGTGTGGTATAAGCCCTACTTCTACTAGATATCAACAGAACAGGTACAAAATCTCTAATACATCGCTCTGGATGAATGTCGATACAAAGCCCTGACATTCCGTAAAGCTCATTACATAGATTTACAGCAGTGTTTGTATTATGTCGACAGGGTCGGCTCAGTAATCACGTACTTGGGGTCGCCACCTTCATGACATGACCCACTTGTTCCTGAAAAGATCAGCATTTAATGGACACTGGATACAGCAGATGAAGCACACAAGCCAGTCTAGTGTGACCAATCTGTACACACCTTTCTCCATACCATAACTAACATTACATTACGTCCAGAGCAAATAGTTTTTGTAGATATTTTTTGTAAAATTGTCTTTCAATACATAATATAAAAGAGCATAGAGAATCTTTTCTGGTATTTTTATTTCCGGGTCTGAATGAGTACAGAATACCACTGTTTCTGTTGGGACTTTTATTTATGAATGAATGACGAATGTTTAAGAACTCAAAAAGGTTCTTATATAAAAATTATTTATACTTTTAAAGCCAGGCCAATATAAATATTTATTTTACTTTGTTGTATTGATGCAACTTTTAGAGTGAGTGAGTATGGTTTTATGCTGTTTTTAAGCAACATTCCAGGAATATCATGGCAGGGGACACCAGAAATTGGCTTCAAACATTGTACTCCTGTGGGGAATGGAAACCGGGTCTTTGACGTAACAAGCGACCCCTTTAACCACTAGGCTACCCAACAGCCCCTGCAACTTATAGAAAACTGAGTCACAAATCAACAGTGTCCACAATTTATTGTTAGTTTTGCCTCCTACTTCTTGACATACTGATAAATATTTTTAGGAAAACAGTAAAATATAATGGTCTTGACAATGAAGAAATACAAAATTAAATGCTAAATTTGTTAAAGTGAATGAGTGAGTATTGTTTTAAGCCGCTTTTAGCAATATTCCAGCAATATCACGGTGGGGGACACCACAAATGGGCTTCACACATTGTACCCATGTCGGAAAACCCGTTTCTTCGGCGTGACGAGCGAACGCTTTAACCACTAGGCTACCCGACTGCCCCAAATTTGTTTAAAAAGGCATCATGTTTAGTAGTTTGTTGCTTGTTTGTTTGTTGTTTAATGCCGCACTCAGCAATATTCTAGCAAAATGAAATAATCTGGTCTGGACCAGACAATCCAGTGACAGACATCTGAGCATTGATCTACGCAATTCGGATACAATGACATGCATCAAACATGTCAAACAAGTCAGCAAGCCAGACCATCCGATCACGTTAGTCGCCTCTTACAACAAAGAATGGGTTGCTGTAGACCAATTCTAACCCTGATCTTCATGAACTGCTTAATGGTTTTCAAGAAACATATTTTGTTTGTTTGTTCATTTGTTTAACGCCTCACTCAGCAATATTCCAGCTATATGACAGCGATCTGTAAATAATCAAGTCTGGACCAGACAATCTAGTGATTGACATCATGAGCATCGATCCATGCAATTGGGATACGATGACATGCATCAACCAAGTCAGGGAGCCTGACCACCCGATCCCGTTAGTCGCCACTGGCATGGGTTGCTGAAGACCTATTCTACCCCGGATCTTCACGGGTCTCATGAAACATGTACATGCTCTTACTTCAGTAAAAGCCCAGTTGTCTAAGGCGCCGCGATTCGCTGTGCAGAGTTGCGTCCCTTGGGCACGACAGAAACCTATGATTGTGGGTTCGAATCCCGGTTCGCCCCGATTATGTTTCTAGGTTTGTCAGCACCATACCCGCGCTCGTGGGTTTCACCGAAGTCGTAAATGTCTAAGACCTGCATCACTTCGGGTTTTCCTCCCACATTAAGCTGACATGCCGTGATATAACTGTAATAATGTTAAAAACGGCGTTAAACACAACTCACTCACTCACTCACTCACTCACTCACTCACTCCAGGAGAAAGCTCGGTTCTCTTTGTTAGGAGCTTGCAGAGGCAAGAGACAACGTATATGAATTGCATGTGATTAATTTTATTCAAAAATTTCCATTTTGTTAGATTTATGTAGTTAAATTGTTTATTTTATCAATCCATAAAAAATATAGCATTTTGGCCCCCAAAAAAGGATATAAACTTTTTTATCATTTTTTTCCAATTGTGGTTTTTGGATCTGATTCATCTAATCCATAAGCCGAAAAATAAAAGTTGTGTCAATAAAGTTGTTGATGTGTTTCACAAGGAATATTTCAGTTGTTACTGTACGAGATATTTTGAGTAAATAAGTGACGTATAGTGACATGACATGTGACATGCACTCTACAATTCTGATAAACTTATCAATCAAACAGCCACACTTTTCCTAGTCCCACAGGACTTGCAATGTAAATACCGTATTCGACGTAATAAGCGCCCCGCTCTAATAAGCGCCCACAGCGATATTTACTTATATATTTGCTAGTGAACAATCCCAATTAGCACCCCTTCCGATTGATCAATGACAAAGACTTTTTTATTCGCGTATAATACGCAATTAAATCCTGGAAAAATATATCTGTCGTATATCAACATTTCAGGCTGTCAGCATAAACCACGAAATTTATCTTTCAACCCTGTTTTTTTTCACCAAAATAACATTCTATTGAGATGATTAAGAGCCCCCTATTTCTAATTTTGAGAGCGCCCTGGGCACTTATTACGCCAAATACGGTACTTTATTTCTGGCCATTCTCAATTCGTATGCCCAAACAATTGCATCTGGTAAAAGCCTGACAGCAAATTGTTTGATTTTAATAACATACACCATTCCTCCATAAACTACCTATTTAAATAGAGGCACATCGAGATTTCAGCAATTATTGTGTCGTTGAATTTTTCTGTTATCTGCTCTTTATCAATTCAAATGATTATTGCGTCTTGAATCAATTTTCTTTAATTCCAAAAGAATCCAACCTTTTGTGACATCAATGTCAACCAGTCAACAATGAACCGACCACGTAAGCCAGGCGGACATGTTTCAGCGAGCAGCTCGCCAGTGTGTGTCGACACGAAGCATTAACTCAGTCCTTGTGTGACCAGAATATGTATTGTAGATATAGGTATAGCTTGTCAATCACCCACAGTGGAGACAGAATACATGCTATTGACGCTTAATCACCCATCTGACGGGGTAATGGATAGTGACAAGTCTGTATTCACATGGTATTGTCATCGAGAGAACCACTTCTTGGCCAACAAGTTTCAAATTCCTTAGAACTTAGAGGCATCCATACATGAGTATAGTCTGTAAAGTTTCAGTATTAGGCTGTGTGAACAGTAATATATTTTGAACAGTTATTTAAATCAATGTGGGTCAGTCAAAATCTTACCCAATAAACAATTGTCTTTAGACAATATATACTTTTATTTAAAAAATGAAGTTGCATATTAGATCATATTATATATTGCCACAAGAAATCTAAGAACCTGAAAATCTGACAAACTTTAAAAAGACCTGTTTCTTCAAGAGAGCATTTGACTAGATCAATCATTGTCTAAGCACATTTGAGCTGTTGTTGATTCGAAAATGTGCTCCATAAATTTTTAATTTAATTTATTTAATATCGGCCAAGAAGGAGAAGAAAAACGTTGCATAAGTACACATAAAAATGTTACAAGATCCCTCGTCAAAAGACATAAAACTGCATATCAGATGGCAATAATATGGCACAACATTTTACAAGATCATTGGACTGTGGATAAGAAATGGCTACAAGTGACTACCACTGTTATTGTTGTAAGTCCACATACTTACAATGAGGGCAACTTGTCACACACACATCAAGTAATTCCTTAGTAATTCCACTGACGAAGCGAGACTCTGACAGCGACAGACAGGTAGAACATATACCTTGACACACCCACCCTCTGAGATAAAAACAAAGTGTGTCACTTGGTGTACACAACCAACAAACCTTCACACAGCAACAACCGGCCCAGTTGTATCCAAATCTTGAATGTTTCCTAAGTGAGGAGTGAGTGCAGTTTATCCCACCGAGGTGGTTCCTGATGGTCTGGCCAGAGGCAACAAAGAGGCACCAGATGCTGGACCAGATGTGTGGGGGACATGTGTCCGACCAATCTCCTGTCAAGCCACAACACACACCAGCAACACTGTAACACGATACCCTGGGGCTTCTGTTTACAAGTGCCCGGTGGGTCCAACTAACTCGCTCTCCCACATATTAGGCTCCCTGGCTGTATTGAGTGACTCTCTATTAACTAGCACCTCTGTATAAAGACTCTCTATAAACCAGCACCTCTGTATAGTGACTCTCTATAAACCAGTATCTCTGTATTGTGACTCTCTATAAACCAGTATCTCTGTATAGTGACTCTCTGAAAACTTGCATCTCTGTATAGTGACTCTCTATAAACCAGTACCTCTGTATAGTGACTCTCTATAAACCAGTATCTCTGTATTGAGTGACTCTCTATAAACCAGTACCTCTGTACAGTGACTCTCTACAAACCAGCATCTCTGTATAGTGACCCTCTACAAACCAGCATCTGTATAGTGACCCTCTATAAACCTGCACCTCTGTATAGTGACTCTCCATAAACCAGCATCTCTGTATAGTGACTCTCTATAAACCAGCACCTCTGTATAGTGACTCTCTATAAACCAGCATCTCTGTATTGAGTGACTCTCTATAAACCAGCATCTCTGTATAGTGACTCCCTATAAACCAGTACCTCTGTATAGTGACTCTCTATAAACCAGTATCTCTGTATTGAGTGACTCTCTATAAACCAGTACCTCTGTACAGTGACTCTCTACAAACCAGCATCTCTGTATAGTGACCCTCTACAAACCAGCATCTGTATAGTGACCTTCTATAAACCTGCACCTCTGTATAGTGACTCTCCATAAACCAGCATCTCTGTATAGTGACTCTCTATAAACCAGCACCTCTGTATAGTGACTCTCTATAAACCAGCATCTCTGTATTGAGTGACTCTCTATAAACCAGCATCTCTGTATAGTGACTCTCTATAAACCAGCATCTTTGTATAGTGACTCTTTAAACCAGCATCTTTGCATATTGACTTTCTATAAACCAGCACCTCTGTATGGTGACTCCCTATAAACCAGCACCTCTGTACAGTGACTCTCTATAAACCAGCACCTCTGTACAGTGACTCTCTATAAACCAGCACCTCTGTATGGTGACTCTCTATAAACCAGCACCTCTGTATGTTGACTCTCTATAAACCAGCACCTCTGTGTGGTGACTCTCTATAAACCAGCACCTCTGTATGGGTGAGGTGGCATTGTGTTTAACGTTTAGTTTGAGATTATTTCATGCAACCAGCATGCACATGTGTTTGTGTGGCTGCTTGTACTAGTCCGGACTAATGCCGATTCATAGTGCTAGCCCACTGAGATACCATGCCGCAGTTTAACATGGGTACCCCACTCAGACACAGTATACTGACTCCGACCAGTCCTAGTTTTTTCCCCCTAAACATGCTAAAGGGGCCATGCAGTCATTTATTCTACATAGGGGTGGGTCAGAGGGAATCAGGGGAGGGTCACCAAAAAATATGACAAATACACATATTTGGGGAGGGTCATAAAAAAAGGACAGTCTATAATAATTTTTTATTATAAAACATAAAGAGCTTTTGCATTTTGTCTTTTCAGGGTGGGTGAAAAGAATGTACAAGGACTTGGGGAGGGGCATCCGTAAATATGACAAGCATTAGGGGAGGGTCATTATTTTAGTACATCAGAGTATCAACCCCCACCCCCCACCCCCCACCCCCTGCAACCCCGGGTATCCAACCACTCCACGGGCAGATACTCCTCCACCACACCTACACTGTGCTGCGTTGTTTTAAAGAATAAGTCACAGAGAATAAAAGTTTTCATGGACTATTTCACTGAACACAAACACGACAGTAGACTAACATCTAGTCTCTTAAATAAAAATATCTTACAGAAAAAAACAGTTGTTAATTTATCTTAATAAAAATATAATAAAAAGGATCCCAGACTCTCTTCATTATCAGATGCTACAGTAATCTAGACTTGCCAAACATTATAGACTTGCATGGGCTGTATTGAATATATTTGTATCAGGGTCTGTCTGTCAGATAGTCTGTCTTACAGACCCTGATACAAATATATCCATACAGCCCTTGCAAGTCTATTATGTTTGGCAAGTCAAAGACGTAAATATCTATATACATCTTTGGGCAAGTCTAGATTACTGCAGTATGAAAATGAAGAGTCTCCGGGCTCCTTTTTATTATATTTTTATTAAGATAATTCAACAACTGGTTTTTTTCTGTACCATATGTACATTTCAGAGACTAGATGTTAGTCTACATGACAGACTTACACTACAGACATGCCTGTGAGATCTGTGGGAGTCAAGAGAAAGACTTCCAAGCACCTGTTTCGAGTGGGCCCTTGTGAGTGGGTGCCTCGAGTAGGGGCAGGTACAGGCGACACATTCTCCACCCAACAGCCGGCCACGCCACATAAGTTTATTGGAGTGTTTATGAGTTTGATCCTTGTTGTGACTGTCAGCACCAAACTGGTAGTCAGAGTAACAGTTTCCACAGGTCACATGCTTCCATACTACAAGTACCTCGTCTCTGACATTCACTGTATTCCCAAGAGAGTGGCACATTTTGAAACTCACTGACCTGTTGCAGCCTGCTTGTCCGTATTTTTAAGAAGTATGTGTGAAATATTTTCTATGACCTAAAAATGGGGTGTGAGTTTATCAATAAGTACACTTAGAGGTATTGATTGAAGATTGGCCCTTTTTGGCCCATTAGAACTGCAATATTTAAAGGGCAAGTTCACACGGAAATGAACCTAATTTTCTTGTACTTTTTCCACAATAAAAGTGTTAACCTAGAAGTGTCATAGACAAAAATATAAAAATATCACAATTAATTAACATATGTTTTGCATTAAAACGATTTATATTTTTCACATTTACCAAGTGTTCTATCTTCATAACAAAAACACCATGGCTTATGCCCCTTGCAATATGACGTCATTGGTGCCAATTGATAAACATTATGACGTCATCATGCTTTGTTAGAGCCGCTTCACGTGGTGTAGGTATAGGTGTGTGATTCTAGCGTCTCAGATGCCAGCCAGCATAGTGTAATGCTGAGTCACCACTGCGCCGGAGTGTGTCGTAGGCCATGTTGTTTTACCGAAAACTGGTACTTGATATCTTTTGCGTTCAGAATAGACAGGGACCCAGTTGAACTGGCACCAAATACGTCATAATCTAAGGGGGATAACTCAGGCCTGTTTAGCTCGAAAAACGAAGGCCTCATAACGGCATATCATTTTCACACAATTGTGAGCTTCCTACTTTCACTGTGAAAAAAATGAGTGTATATTTTCAAACACAGATACTAACTAATTCTAAAATTGCGTTTTGTTTAGAAAAAGTAAGAAAGTGATTTTTGCGTGTACACTTCCCCTTTAAGGAATGACCATAACTGGTGAAATTGTTATAAATGTTATAAATGTTATAAATGTTATAAACAGTTGCAGTAGCTTGTAAGATAGCTTGTGTCCTATTTGACAGGTTATCTGTTTTCTATCAAAAACGTGTTCTAAAATTATCGCTGACCCCAACCATTTCTTAAACAAAGAGTATGCGTTTCTACCTTCTGGCCAGTGATACAACAGACAATACAACTGGTCTAAATCATAACAATAATATTCATATAATAACAATCACCATTACAACTTTAGAACTGACAATGACAATCTCCCATATTATATTTTGATCAACACAACTATAAAGTCAAATGTAGACAAAAGTATATGTTTCCCTCTAAACCTACTGTACCTTAAGATCCGGGGTAGAACAGGTCTTCAGCAACCCATGCTGGCCGTAAAAGGCGACTATGCTTGTCGTAATTGGTGACTGACGGGATCGGGTGGTCAGGCTGGCTTACTTGGTTGATGCATGTCATTGATCTCAATTGCTAGGATTGATGCTCATGATATCAATCACTGGATTGTCTGGTCCAGACTCGATTATTTACAGACCGCCGTCATATAGCTGGAATATTGCTGAGTGTGGCGTAAAACAACAAACAAACAAACCAAACCATATCTTAAGACCTGCAACTGTGTAGAAAAATCCCCTTAAAGGGCAAGTTCACACAGAAATGAACCTAATTTTCTTGTACTTTTTCCACAATAAAAGTGTTAACCTAGAAGTGTCATAGACAAAAATATAAAAATATCACAATTAATTAACATATGTTTCGCATTAAAACGATTTATATTTTTCACATTTACGAAGTGTTCTATTTCCATAACAAAAACACCATGGCTTATGCCCCTTGCAATATGACGTCATTGGTGCCAATTGATAAACATTATGACGTCATCATGCTTTGTTAGAGCCGCTTCGCGTGGTGTAGGTCTAGGTGTGTGATTCTAGCGTCTCAGATGCCAGCCAGCATAGTGTTATGCTGAGTCACCACTGCGCCGGAGTGTGTCGTAGGCCATGTTGTTTTACCGCAAACTGGTACTTGATATCTTTTGCGTTCAGAATAGACAGGGACCCAGTTGAATTGGCACCAATTACGTCATAATCTAAGGGGGATAACTCAGGCCTGTTTAGCTCGAAAAACGAAGGCCTCATAACGGCATATCATTTTCACACTATTGTGAGCTTCCTACTTTCACTGTGAAAAAAATGAGTTCATATTTTCAAACACAGATACTAACTAATTCTAAAATTGCGTTTTGTTTAGAAAAAGAAAGAAAGTGATTTTTGCGTGTACACTTCACCTTTAAATAAATCAAGATTTGTTGTTAAATGCAGCTGTCTTGTCTGACTAAGATCAAAGGATGTGAACACCTGTGCCCACCTGCACAAAGCGATCTTAGCGCTACAACTATTGTAAGGCTATGTTAAAGTATGGGAGTGACGATCATCTTAGTGCTAACATTGCTTTGTGCAAGTGGGCCTAGATCATTACAATGTTAACATGCTATACTTACAATCACCTTTTCTGTAAAATTAGTAGTGAGTGAGTGAGTTGGGTTTAACACCGCTTTTAACAGTATTCCAGTTATATCATGGCGTGTCAGCTTAATGTGGGAGGAAAGCCCGAAGTGATGCAGGTCTCAGAAGTTTACCACTTCGGTGAAACCCACGAGCACGGGTATGGTG